CAAAGCTCTAAACTGCTCTGCCAACTGATAAGCAAGTTCCCTCGTCGGATTAATCACCAGCGAAAAAGCCCCATACGGATCCCCCGCTAAACGGTTCAATATTGGAAGGGAAAACGCCGCCGTTTTCCCACTTCCCGTCTGAGCTATCCCTAGCACGTCAAGACCAGCAAGTATTTTAGGTATGCAGTGGGTCTGAACCGTCGTTGGCTCTCGCATACCGAGTTCTTTGCAAGTCTGGATGGCCTATTCGGCTAGGCCCAGGTCGGAGAAAGCAGAAGTCGAGGCGGCGGCGGAGGATGAGGAGGAAAACTTTTCTAACTGGGGAGTATGGGAGTCATGGTTCGGGTAGGGTTTAGGGGTTTCAGTGGCTTTGGGTCTTCGGGGTTTGGAGAAAAGTGGAAAGCTTTTGTCAACTAAAGTGGAAGAATTTTCTTGTTTCTCTCCTCCTTGCTCCATCCTGAATTTACTGTTCGGAGAAAGAGAACTTGAGGAGGAAATAAAGGAGAGAAAGAAAACAAGAAATTATTATGTAAATTTGCAATATCCCTCGCTGTGACTTAAACAAACAAGACGAAAGAAAAGCCTAAAACGCCCAATTGTATGGTCCAATGGGCTAATGCGTACGACCCAGTTGCCCAGTTCGACTTAATTTACATTTGAGTCCATAATTCCAATTTGTATGTCGGCCTAAACTTTATTAAAATTTTAAAATATATTTTTATTTGATTTTAATTATAAAAATATATAAATATTAATTATAATATTATTTTAAAATTAAAAATATTTTTTGGATCCTAATATGATTAGAAGATAGTATATGTGATGTTTAAGAAAAGTAGAATAATATTAGAATTAGCCTCTCAACGTTTACTAGAATGATTATTTTGGGTCCTATTCTTTTAGATTTTAAGTTTAAGGGTTACAGTGGGTGTAAAAGCGTGCAAGGGTCATGTTGATTTTTTTTAAAAGTACGAGAGTTTTACATACCTTTTATCTAATACTTTTTTATAGAAAGTATTTTAAAATAATGTTCAAAAAATGATAGAGAAAAAAATTAAATGTTAATGAATCCAATTCCATATTGTTCATTATCGTTCCTCATTCTAAAATCTAAAGCAAACATTGATTTTCCTTTTCTTATGAGCATGTGGGGTATTTTATATCTAAATCTCTGACCCCTTGGTTCTATACTAAAAAAAAGCCGAGAATGTGGGATGACGCGCGACCACGAACGCGCCGACTTTAAAATCGTAGGCAAGCGTGCGGTGAGATTGGTCGGCAGAGGCACCACCGCCTTTCGATAAGAACAAGAATTTTAATTTGCCGACCAAAGTTCAAGAGATCAATATGACTTTGTTCCTGTCCAAACAAAATGATATCTATATACACACACGCACGTAGGCCGATTGCATGCATAACTTTCCTTTGTGATTCGGTATTCCAATACACTCTATGACGCAAACCTCAAGATCATTCGTTTTGCGTAAATGGTGAAAGGTATATACGTAAAACTAACTCATTCCTTTCATTTTCGTATTAATATTGCCACTCACTCCTTTTGTTTTCTTTCCATTTCTCTACTTCATTTAGCTTTATTTTCATTCGTGCAATGGTTTTTAGATATTAAAACAAGACCAGTTGAGACGGTGGAGGAGTCACAGCTTGGTTAAAATGGACACGTATATATATCTTAAATTCTGAATTTTTTTTCGATTAGTTACTTATTTTATTGATTGTGTTCACCCTGAAATTTTTCATGGCCACCCTAAAATCTAAATTTTCTTTAATTAAATACTTATTTTACAGACAGTGACCATCCTGAAATTTTATTTATACACATCTCATTTAAAAATTTTATATTATTAACATATGTGTGTATACCTTAAAAATATTTTTGGATCCGTTATTGGTTTGAGAGATTTCATGTACTTCCATTTGACTTTGCATGTATTGATAGATTTTATGTTAGGGAACGAATTTTTGAAAAGTTAGGAGATGATGAACTTATAAATTTTTAGGGATCAAAAATATATTATCAATATATATATATATATACATGTTAATTTAAAATTTTCAGAGGACGATTGTTTCAATCCTTCGATCCATTCACGTGCATGATGCTTATCAAATGTAATATTTAGAAATTTAATAATGGAGATATAAAATTTCAATATTCTTTTATTTTAAAGAAAATATACAAATTAGCTTAATAGTACATTCTTTTATTATAAACCCGAGTTAATGAGTAGTTTTTACTAACGTGGACTGTTTAATAACGCGGGAACTGAAGAGAAAGGATTCAGCAAGGTATGTGAGGAAGAGAATCAAAAGGTTGAAGGTAGACATGAAAGAGATGAGCAAAGAGCAGGAAAGCGTTAAAGAAGTGCAAAGGCAAGTGGAGGCAAATCTCCGAGCATTCCAGGAAGAATGCGATAAGCTCCGAGACGAAACATCTCAAATTATCCGACAATCTGCCCATACTCGGATTCGTCTCGCTCTGATGTTCAATATCCTAAAGGCACGAGAACAAGGCGATCTCGCCCAGGCTGCCCAATTAACTCGGTCACTTCGGTAAACCCTAATCCTTTCCACTTTTCTTTTCCCTTTTTCAATTGGTAGCTTTTACCTTGTTACAAACAATTTATTTTTCCTTCTTCTTTTTTTTGTTTTTTTTTAAGTGAAACATTTGGCGGAGATGAAGCAGCTGTAGTCCAAAGATCAAATCCGAGTTTTCTTTTTCCAAGTAGATGACGTGTATACAAGCGCGTGGTTGAGGGCACAAGGTGCGCGACCGTGCAGGGTTCAAAAAAATAATGGTCCGAATCAAATATATCTATTAGTTGTTGTCATTAATAAGTATAAAATAGGGATCTCGAAATCGAATATATCTATCAGTTGTTGCTATTAAGAAGCATAAAAATAGAGATTTTGAAATCGAATTTATCTAAAAAATAGAATCCTTTATAAGAATTATAGAGGGCCCTTTATACCTAGCCACGTGTATAATTCCTCAATGTTATTTCCATGATTATAATATTTTCTTGATGATGCATTATTGTAAATTTTACATATATTTGAAGGCCAAGTTCAAGTATCATTTAATAATAATATACACTGGTTTTCTTATTCGTGCAATGCAGATTGGTTGTATCAATTAAAAAATATAATATTAAATTATTTCATACAAATATTTAGGATTAATACAAAAAAAAGTACTTGAATTATACCTCGTAAAATGTTTTAGTGCTAAAATAATTTTTCGCTAAAAATAGGTATTTAATGTTTAAAACAATATAATTTTAGTTGCTTAAATGTTAACCGCGGTTAAATATCTCCGTTAAGTGACATGAGTCACGTTTTGATAATTTTGAGAATTTAAAAAAATAAAAATAAATAAAAATATTTTTTGTTGAAAAAAAAGAACATAACAGCTCTGTGTGTTCTACCCCTTTCCCTTTTCCCCTTTCATCATTCCAAAAGTCATTGGTCGATCAATGTTAATCGTCACCGCCACTGTCATCATCACTGACGTCGACTCCCGATCAAATCCCCATTAGCCTTTTGTGGTAATATGCTACTATTTTTCGTGGAGAAACTTTTAAAGGTTCATCAGATTTTAAGTCATTGTTGTCGTTATTCGTCCATTCCTGCCGATTCTGACTTCCATAAGCCACACACCACCACCATTCGAACCACCATGCTATTCCGATCAAAATTCAACTGTTCGACGACGACGACGACGACGATGGACGGAGACCATTTGTGTTAAGAAATTAAAATTAGGGATTTGGATATTGGAGATTTTAGATTTAGAGATTTTGGGTGACAGTAAGGACGACGATAGATCAATGGATGCATGGCGATGGGTGGGTGGGTGGAGATAACCGGCAACGGTTGGTAATGAGACTTAAAACGAGATATTTTTTATAATTTCAGTAAAAGTTAGTTCTTTTTATAAATAGATTAAACTTTTTTCTTTTTTAATTAAAATAATATTTTTATTATTACAAAAATTAAAAAATAAACTGTAGGTACCTAAAGTATAATCAAGAAAACGTTATACATATTTTTAACTAAAATTATTTAGACAGTTAGTTTTTTTATAAATATATTAAACTTTTTCTTTTTTAATTAAAATAATATTTTATTATTAAAAACCAAAAAATAAATTGTAGGCCCCTAAAAATATAACCGATAAAACATTAAACACCTATTTTTAGCGAAAAATTCTTTAGACACTAAAATATTACATAATTAGGCCTTATTCGTATTAAACCAAATATTTATTTTATAATTTATACATAAAAATGATTTTCAAAAACTTTAAGACATATTTTCAATAGGTAAAGATGAATATTTAAATAAAAGAATTATAATTTTATAATTTACTCTATGAGACTTTTATAACATTATTCTTATCTTCAAATGATTGAGTGAAGAATGAAAAATTCATATTCAATATAAGTTATTTGTAATTTATGTCGGAAAAAATAAAAAATTTATATTTTACATTAATGATATCAAATGTGAAAGTGTGATGTTATACATAATTTTAAATATACGTAAACACTAGTCATAATTTTTTTTACTAACTTTTCTTTTTTAGGTATATCCATTAGTATCTGATTTATTGATCGATTAATTTAAATCAGATGTTGCAGAGTAAGGGCGACCCTCCTAACTCAGTTTGCTCTATTCGCAATTACAGGGTTTAAACTGTTGATATTATTTAAGAGATCAAGTGCCTCATCCCATTAGACTGACTGATTGTTGGTTTACTGACAACTTTTCAAATAGTAATTTTTTGAAACGCAAATAGTAACATTTTTTAATTAATTCAATAGTAATCTATATATAAAAAAATTGTTACAAACTTTGTACATGTATATAAGAATTATCATAATACTATAATAATTTTGCAATATCGTGATTCTTTTGGGATTTCACAAGGGTAGTATTTGGGTTTTAATTTCCTTATAACCTAAACCCCAGGTTTAAAAAACCCTTACAGCACAACAGAAAGGGGTCTCCCTTTATCTGTTTATCTGTCTACGGTTCGATCCCCTTTTGCTCACCGGACTTGGCACTGGTGCCCGCTCTGCTACAAGATGGTGTTGGGAGACGGCCATTGTTGTGCTCTCCATTCCGTAATCCATCAATTCAGTGTCAGTTGCGAGGGTCATTTATGTCATCGTTTTGATCCTTCTTTTGTGGTTTAGTTTCTGTCATCGTTTTCGAAGATACAGAAGACCTCGCAATAACAGTACTTTTTCTCTAACCATAATTCCCTCTTATTCCGTTTTTACTTTGCTAAATTACTTTTTTAATTATATATATGTTATTACAATTTAGTCATGTTGAAGCGGGTTGATCTTTGATTTTAATCATTGAAATAAATAACCGCGTTTCTTTTTCTTGGATTTGTTCTTTGTACTTGTTTGTTTGGTTTCCGTTAAAATAAGGTAAGTTTCAAACTTTTCATCCCCCCCCCCCCGATTTTGGTTAGGAAATCAATAGTCTACTTTGGAAAGCTGAATATAACTAAACAGTTGTTACCGCTAATTGTGTTTGGTAAACAGAGCTTGTTTTATAATTCCTTTTATTCGAATCAAATACTTGAATGAGAAAAATTAAAAGGCTTCAAATTGACAGTTTTTTTACCTCGTGGTTTATGAAGTCTAATTTCTTATAAACATATGCGAGAATTAATGATACGAATTATTAATTTCTATCACCACTTTATATTCGTTCTGTTAAATGAGTTTTCTATTTTATTTAATTCTTTACGGGACAATGATATATGTGATGTAGCTCTGGGTGCTAAGATTTTTCTGGACATATTTTTGGGTTTCTCCATTGTTTATTTTTAGTAATATATATTGCTGTGATAACGATAGTCATTTATGTTGTGCGTTTGGCCGTTTGGGTGGCAATTTAATACTAGGAAGCTACTGAAAGGGCAATGAAAGCCCTGGAAATTACTTGGAGGATGAGTGTGAGTGAGAAATGATGATATTGGCAGTGGTAGATGAGAATCGATGTGAACTTTAAACGAGTAGAATGGTAAAGCCCTGTCAGCTTTTGAGGTAAGCCTTTCTCCTTTCTCAAATATTTACAGTTTGGTTGGAGTTCGGTTCCAGAATTTTGCTACTAAATTTTGAATTTGAGCTACATTTTCATTACCAATGTATATGTGTTATATTCAACCAAATTGTTAGGACCTGAATTCCTATCCATCTAGACTAAAGTAATTTATCAAATAAATTGAATATAGTTCTTAATTCTTTATTGGTAGGCATTTCTTTTTCTTTTTCTTTGTTTTTACTTCTGTATTCATTTTCAAATTGAACCCCATTATTCGTTTTGTTTCTTTTGTTGTTAAGGAAATCTGTTTGGCTCTTTCATATGTTAGAAGTTTCGGTTTTAATGAAAAAGATTGTTTTTAGTAAGAACGTACTAAGTTTACTTACAATTCAAATTCTTATTGCTTTAGTTTTTTTATACTTTGTTGCTCGTCCATTTTAGCACAATACTCGTATCAACACAAACCGATACTAACTTGGGTATTGGATCTGTGTTGATTTCCTGGGACAAGGTCTTTTGACTGAAAGGAGAAGAACAGTTTAAAAAAAGTAGATCAACGGAGGCAAGCAGAAAGGTGGCAGCAGAAAACAGATTGATAAAAGAAACTGAAGAATTAGGCCTATGCTTAAGAGTATGGCCCAAAATATTTATTATTGTTTAGTCTATAAAGCCAGTTCAAAACCTTTTTAATTCATTATTATTAGTAATGGATCAAAGTTACTTAAAATTGGCTATAACTTATAAATAAATTTAATAATAAAATATTTTAAAAGCAATTTTTTTTCTAAAACTCATGAAAAAACTAATGTATTACATTTTACTTAAAATATTTAATATGTAAAATGAATCCTTGCACCCGTATCCTTCTCTAGGATCCTTAGGTTTCAAATCCTCGTGTCTTAAGTTGAAGTCAGTTGATGAGTCAAACGATTAGAGACGTATCTGCACCTGACACTGGTATTCAAGTTTGAGCAACATAGCTTTGATAAGCCAAATATAACATAAATACTTATACAACTACTCAAATGGAAAGGGTAATTAAAAATAAAAAATAAAAAATGCTAGCTAGTATGGCTTAATGTTTTTGATGTATATGTTCTTGGGCAAAAAGAGGGTAAATGTTGCATGTGCTGCTAACAATTTGGAAATGAGAGAAGCTATTGGCATCATTCTATTTATATCTTAAATATAAACCTTAACAGTTGTTTTTGGTTTGCTAACTCATGTGTTGTTTTCTATTTTTATAGTTCCAGTCTTATGTGTTTAAACTTCGACCACAACTTGAATAGTTATGGTTTTAGTTGTTTTACTTTACTTTTGGATTTGAATAAATAAATGTGGTATTTTTAATCCACAACTTTGAGGTGTACACAATCTATGCCAAAGACCATAGTCACAACAAAAATTGGGCTTCACTTTTGGGGGCTGTGGTTGTAGATTACGAGGGGATATAGCCACAACAAAAGCATTTAAGGTTGCAACTTTTGTTGTTACCTAATATGAGATCTCTTCCACTGAGTGAAGGTGTGGGTTTGAGAATCCTGAACTACATGCATAGTAATTTGGTTAAACACAATTCTAAACTTGTTGTGGCCTGGGGGCTTCTATGTTGCTTTTGTGGAATTATTTTTGGAGGTTGGACACTTGGGCCTAAGTTGATATTGGAATTTAGTTATTTTTGAGCTTTGCTAGAATCCAAATACTCATTGCCTCGTATGTGATTTAGCTACTATTTATCTTGTTGAGACTTTTCTGTATTTTAAGTTTTCTAGATCGTTGAAACGTAGATTGGACTTCTGTTTGCGGCATTTGTTTATCTGTGTTATAGTTCTGACTTAGATTATGAGTTGAATTGGGAGTACTTTGATAGGGTCATATTGTTGTGCTAGTTGCATTCATGTATATGTGAAAACCATCTCATGAAAATTTATTCTTTATCTACATATTTGAATGTGAATGTAATGAATTTCTTGATCACTTAAAACTGAATTCTTCTCGCTCTCTCTTTATGTTTGCCTTTGTTATTTATAGGTTTCATTGTGTATCATCTCTTCAATATGAACTGTTGTTGGTTCCTCTCATTGTATGGTGTGTTGCCCTTGCTTTGTTTTCGTTATCTCTTTAGTTTGTTCTTGCTATACTTTGCTTTGGTCCCTACCCAGTACCCTTTCCCCTTGTATAAAAAAGGTTTTTTATTTGGTAATTCATCACATTTTATTTTGTTGATAATTTTGAAGTTAAACTATTACAGAACATATTACAATTTTGTAATGGTTTATGTAATATTTAACATTAAGGTAGCTTAATTCTATAGTCATTTTCTCAGAAAAATCCAAGATAATTCGTCTCAATTATTTTTGCAAAATGAATATATTTAATATCCGTTGGCTCTCATCTTGGCTGTAAGGGAGCAATCAATGAAACTAGGGTTGCATTGGGTCCAATGTACTATGTGAACCGAGAATTTTGACGCAATTATATAGATCAAATTTTACCATTTAATTTATTTTTTACGTATAAAGATTTCTTAAAAAGAGAAACTCAAGCAGTAGTTGAAAATAATTAAATTTATGAATATGCACAAATTCAAAATTTTCAAGAGTATAGTTACATCAAATTAAAGTTTATGTATATTTAAATTCAAAAAAAGTTTAAATATTGAATTGTTTTTAAAATTGATACGCAAAACTTAGTAGGTAGGCAATCGAAACCCTAACGTCAAAGGATAAAATAATAAAAGGTAGCTTAGTCGGGGAATCGACCAGCGTACGACAAGAGGAAAAGTAAAACAGGGCAGGTGTGGATTAGAATAAAAGCAAGGCGATCGAGAACGAACGATCTCGGCAGCAAAGGGGCGAATACCGCGCGAATTTTAGTGGAAATCGGTTGCTTTCCGTGTTCGAAATGCGTACAGAGACCATTATAGAACTGATGGCCTACCAACTGTCGATATTGCATAGGACCGAGCCCTACCTGCTTCAAATAATACAAACTTATCAGTTACGTTATTTATGGATTTAATATGTTACATCTAATCCATTAAATAAACTCAATGATTAAAAAAATATTTAGACTCAAATAGTTACTCTCTGTCGATATTGCATAGGACCGAGCCCTACCTGCTTCAAATAATACAAACTTATCAGTTACGTTATTTATGGATTTAATATGTTACATCTAATCCATTAAATAAACTCAATGATTAAAAAAATATTTAGACTCAAATATTACGATATAGAGTGTGGTTAAAAAATTTTAAATATAAATTATTTTATAATCATTCCATAATATTAATATTTTTTTTTAAAATATATTAATATTGAATTTCATCAATTCGATGCTTCCAATCAATCAATTAGTTTTGTTTTATATTTTTAACAGGATTAAATATTTAATTGGTATTTGAATTTGATGATTTCTCTAAAATTAACATTTTAAAAAATGTTTCTAAGTTAGTACATAACTTTAATTTCATTCCGTACTGTGCCACTTTTATTAATAATATTTGTTTTTAACTTCAATTTGAATGTGATATTAATTTACAGCGTCGTATTATAAATCATTAACATCGTTAATAATAAATAATATATGTAATTAAAATTCAAATGTTAATATAAGAGGAAAATTTCTTTAATTACCTATTTAGAAGAAGAAATAGAGCTGAAGCAAACTTGGCGGTGAGGAGAGCTCATGGTAGGGTGTTGGATGGTTTCAAGATTAGAGTTTTCCATGATAAGTATTCTGATAATCTCAGTAAGAAGGTCGTAGTGGATAGAAGCTTTAACAAGGTTTGGAAGTGTAACATCCTCAATACCCGGGTTAGTGATTAAATTGTAAAGTTACAAAATTTGGTGATTAAAGTATATAATTGAATAGTATTGTAATTTGGTATAGGATTAAATCGCAAGGAAGATGGAATTGAAGGAAAAATGGTCATTTTCAAGGGAAAAATTAAGATTGCTTATATTTATACCAGCTACACGTGGAAGAGAAAGAAGAAAAACACAAGAGTTCCAGACTCCTCTCCTTCTCCTTTCTTCTCTGTGCGTGTGAGCCAAGGTAAAGGTGAATTTTTTTGATTAAGGGATTAAGTTTATTAGATTTAGATGTTAATTTAAGATCTTAAATTCTATATGGAGGATTGAATTTTTTAAGTTTTAGAGGTATTGGATGGATAATAATTAGTTTAAGTATGTGTATGCAAGTTAGGGATATTAAAAGAGGTGAAATATGAAGTGTTGAGAGGATTATGAAGGGATATTCGTGCTCAAAATAACATTTATGGGCTGTGTGCATCGATACACATTCAATGTGTACCGATGCACTCTCAAATAAATGAACATCGAATGCAATTAGTGCATCGATGCACCCCCTTAAAATACAAACATCGAATGAGATTTGTGTATCGATGCATAGATAGTGCATCGATGCACACGTTAAGGGATGCATCGATACATTGTGTAGTGCATCGATACATACCTTCATTAAGAGATGAAAATAACCTTTCTTTTAGCCTAAGAAATGATAGTTTAGAATATATTAATTAGTATACTGATATGTATCAATGTATTACTATGTAGATACGGAACGTAATCTTGTTCCGGAACAATCGAAAGATTAGGATCGAGTCAAGCAAGCAGGGTTAAGGTGAGTGCATATCCTAAATGGAAATTGTATTGAGATAAGACTTGCGATGAGTCTATCTCGTTTAGTTGAACTTATAATTTCATATTCATGCACATTCATATTTATATATGTGTTCATGTTATGGTAATTTCATACATGATTCATTTAGGCTTTAAATATGAACTTATATGAATGAATGCAATTATATGAGAATCCATTCAGGTATGGGAAATAAAAGAAATGATCATGTGTACTCATATGAAGTGAATTATGTGTTTATGTGAAAAGTGATAGAGGAGTTATGAAAATGAGAATTTTATTTATAATTAAGCCCATGTTATTTAATACGAGAGCTGTAGGTATAATTGGCATGCCAAGAGTCGAGTGATTTTCATTGGTCCTTCGGGACATAGTGGTCATTCGGGACAAATATTCAGTGCCCTTAATGGGATTTTATTCGAGCTATGGTGACAACATTGTACACAACCTCAGTGTACTCGCGTACCTTATGTTCTCAATAATGTACATGGACAATCCAAAGATAAATTAAAGTGAAATTAGCATAAGAATATATGTTTTATATGTGTATGTCACCATCATATATGTTATAGTGTAATAGATGCATGCAAATTAAAATATCACGATCAGATGGTAAGAATGCATGTTCATGAATGCAGTATTATATCTATATATTTAGATTATGCCTCACTAAGTCTGTGACTTAGCGTGTAAGTGATTTACACGTAGGTACCAAGGAAGCAAAAAGTCAGATTTAGGAGTGGCAAGGATAGCATCACTACTAGAAGATCAGATCAGAAGTAATTAGCAAAGTATGTGTTTTTTGTATTTAGTGTATTGACATGTAAATAGTTGTTAATTACGAAGACTCTGATCGGGTTTGTATGGATTTGGTCAACTTTTTGTAAGTCAACAACTTTTATTGTAATGAAAGTTTCAAAATTTCTTTGGTTTTCTTTAAGAGTCAAAGTTTGAAAAGTTAATGTGACACCTCAGACTCGTATCCGGGTAGGGTACGGGTTAAGGTGTTGCATTTAATGGTATTAAAGCTATGATTTAGTCGATTCTTGGTATAAA